AAATATGAGTAAGAAGGGACCCTTGTGAGTCCTTAACAGAAATAAAAGGTATATAAATACAAATGAGCTCAAGGCAAGAAAAAAGAAAACAACATTATGGGTAGTTGGAAAGAGAAGTAAGGCCTTTCTACTTTTACAGACTAAGTGCTACCTGAGAAGGGAGAGGGAAACCTAATTTTCCTAGTACTTACACGCTTTCCTTCCCCAGTTCATTGCTTCATTCATATAAACTATCAGTTCCCAAACATAGTATACCTCCATAAATTTGGAATTTGAGTCTATGTCTAGAAATTCCTTCTCTTTTTCTTGGCAACTTTTCTTTAAGACCTCTTCAAATGTCCTCCTAAGTGAAGCCATTTTAAAACTTATCAAAATGCAACTTCATTATTGAATATAGTATGTCTATCACACCAGATAGCGAGTACCTCAAGAACAAAAACTTTACTACATCTTATTTATTTTGTATCCCTCTCCTCTGCCTCTCCACCCAACACCTACTTCTCAGCTTAGTGTTTGGCACATAATTAGGACCCAATAAATATTTGTTGAATGAACAATTAATAAATAACTACAGAATTATTGGGAATTACAGAGAAGAAAAATGTCAAGGGAAACTTTTAGCCCTGTCAACTAGGAAAATATTAGCAAGGTTAGGGGAAAAAATGGGAGCAAAAGCATTCTGGACAAATGAAACAACATAAACAAAGACTGTAGGATGTAAAATTGAACACTGCACACGATGATCCAAAAGGGCGAGAAGTTCTAATAGACCATGAGCACCTCACAGAAAAGAATCTGCATCCTTCATATTTATCCCTATTTTTTCCATTACTTAAAAATATTTTTAAAATACCTAGTTATAATGCAAATGTCTAATGCTATTTAATCTCTAAATTAGAACATAACATGCTAAAACTTTAGTTAAAGTCCCATTTGAACTAAGTTAGGATGCCACTGTTTCTTAGTAAAGTAATGATGTTTAAATAGAACTTGCTAGGTGGCTAAAATTTAGCTAAAGTACATATCTACAATGAAAAGAAAAGTTCTATAATATGAGTAAATAAACAAGACAGTGCAACAAAAATAACTTTAAAGCTTATTCTAAATATGACTATGTTCATCTTTTTTAAAGAAATAGTAGTTAATCAAGTATTTAAGCACTATTTAAATTTCCAATCCTTATCCACACTCTTCCCAACAGTTTGTTTGAGTCAGGACCCAAATATGAAAAAACACTGAAGTAAATGAAAAAATTTTTTAACTAGAACAGGTTGAAGGGCAGATGTAAAGATTGCTGAGGGCAACTTTTCTGTACTTTTGCATCTTAAGTTAGTGACATTGGTTCTTCATTTTTTAATTTATCAGTGTTTTGCAATTATAAGCCAGAATTATAGTTGACTTATTTACAAATGGACTGAAGTAAAAAGGAAAAATAGTGTAAAGTGCTTTCCCAGAAGTAAATGTTTTGAGATGCAAAGGGAAAAGTAATACAATGCATTTATTTGGCTGTTTTAGTTCCTTTAAGGCAGTGGTTCTCAACCTTGGCTGCACATGAGAATCACCTGGGAATCTTTTTAAAATCCTGATTTCTGGGCCTCATCATTAGTAAAGATACAGAATTTCCGGAGGATGAGGCCCAGAAATCAGGATTTTAAAAAGATTCCCAGGTGATTCTAATGTGCAGCCAAGGTTGAGAACCACTGCTTTAGGGGATGAGATGGAACTGTTATTTCCTCTGTGCAAATATCATTATTCCCCCTGTGCCTTACCACGTTTAGCATTGTAGAGTAAGGTACTCATTAAAAACTTATTGACTGTATAAGGGCCTGCCTGCCTCATTCCCTACGACAAAACCCTGGAAAAGAAGCCCGTCCTTACCGATGCCAGGTTCTGACTCTGTGTTGGTCCTCATCTAACACCTGCATTGAAGTAACCTTATATTAGATCTGTTTGGAGCCCTAGACCAGTTAATTTTGCTACACTGTATCCTGTCATCTTGAGTCACCACACAAAAACAAAACCCTTATATCATCTACCTCTTCTCTTATTTTTACACCAAAACTGCTCTGTGCTTTTTCCTGATCCAATATCAAACTATTCCCATTTGCCCCATAACTTTATACTGTATGTAATGGTAAACAAACTCACTTTTATCTTAAACCTTCCAGGTCACAGTGTTGCCATCACATGTGTGTCTTCCTATCGATGTGAATGATCATCCAGCTGCCTTGCCTGTTAGTTCTTAGACTAAAGCAGTTCCAATGACTTTCACTGCACTTCAGCTACCTTTGTGTGGTCACATTAATGGGCCATCCATTCAATAAAATGTTCTAACTATTAAGTCAAATTAAAATATTCTACTTTAACACACAAACTGCCTATATCCTTCCAACTCTTTCACTACAGTGCACTCACTATGTTGTTCTGGGATTGTATTAAGTCCCCCAAGTCTCTTGGGCCCTCCATTTGTCCTTTCACATTTATAACTTAGGCCAGATCCCAGCTGATGATCTCAACTGCTCCTCCATCACCATCTGAAATTCCTCTTCAACCCTATTTTTCTGTCACAGCACTCTGGATAATTCCAGTTAGTGCTAGAATCTGCTTTCTTGGCTCTTTTAATTCTGAACACTTAGGGCTATGTGGGAGGAAGGTCGTCTAGAATGGATCGATCCAGTGGTCTCACTGGGTCCTTAGTGGCCCAATAATCCCCAAACAAGCAGTTTCTACGTCAGATCCCTCTTCTACTTCTATCAAACATTATTCCAAATTATGACATTTCTGAATCCTTTAACATAACTCATTTGTTTCTATCCCAACTGATGGCTTGCTCTCTTCTAGTCTATGAAGTATCATGGCATCCTCCTTCAACCTCTCCCTGTCTTCCCTCCTTCCCTAAAAACATATCTACTGCCACATACATCCCCTCCTCCTTCACAGAAACACCTCTCCAAATATGGCCTTAATTCCATTTTCTCCTCCTTTTTCAGTACATCTTTAATTTACCCCTTTCCTACTGGTGTCTTCAATTTATAAAAATCTCAAGTCGCTACCATCTTTAAAATAAAGGAACCAGAAAAACCTCAGCCTTCTTAGTGATACTAAACACTCTGAATTATTTACATGAAAAGAGAACTCGTGTCATTCTTAAACATAAAAACCAGAAAATTCCAAAGCCGCTTAGTTCATTTCACTTTCTATCTCCAATATTCTACATCAAGATTTTTTAAAGTAAGTCAGTGACAACCTTCTCATTCACATTCCAGTGAAAACCCACAACAATATCTGTATGGCTCACTCCATTTAGCTTTCTTTCTTACCTTTGTTACTGCCCTTCTCTCTCTGGCCTCAAGAATACTGTCTACTAAAAAATGTCTTTTGGATGGGGTTTCAAATCGTCAAATAACGGAACATCAATGTTCCAAAATGAACCATGGCATTTAGAACTTCAACACACAGCACTTCTTGCTCTTCCTTTCTCCTGTTTATTCTCTTGTTTTACCTATGACTGCCTTCCTCTCTCAAAAGCATCTCTTCAAATGAACAAGCAAAGGAATTAGGAAAACAATTTTGGATGGGGGAGGTAGTAAAGATAATGCCTTATTAGGGGCTTAAATACACAAAAGTCTAAATTGGTGAAAATTTTAAAAGTAAGCTCTAAACAGAAGAAATAAAATGGCGGTTACAGTTATTCATTTAAAATATAATTTCCATAATCCTGAGGAATATTTGGTTACTATAATGGAAAAATTATTTCAAACAATTTAAAGCCAACCTATTAGCCATAGATGATAAAGAATTCTTGTTTCTCTTTCAGAGAAGTACCTCTTTTCAAGAGGATCAAAATCCTTTTCATTTTTACCTGCAGATACAAATCAGTGGAAAATTTAAGAAGATCTCATTTATTTAAAATTTTATATTTTAATTATAGATTTGTCATTTTTTAGCTTAACCTCAGTAAAACAGGAGGCCAACACACTCCAAGATTTTTTTGAATAACAGACCTATTAGTAAAAATATATACAGATATATCTCTCCTCACTGTACTACTATAAAGCATAAATAAAATATAAAAAGAATTCGATCAATAAATATAAATAGAAGTTCTTATATTTTCTTTTCCAAAGAATCATCATGTATAACTGCCCCATTGGAGAAGATTACTCTGGACTACCAAGAAGAAAAACAAACAATATATTGAATGGTTTGATATCACACTAACTTTATACATTGATTTGTAAGAAATTCATCTGTTTAAAATGTTAAGGTTTTTTAAAAATAAAATTTTAATAGTGCTATTTATTCGCAGTGTCATAAGGAATACATACATTTGATTGTGATGAAAAGAAAGAAAATCATACTTTTATGTTTAAATTATAAAGAGTTGTGGATTACTATCACATTTAGTGATGTAGCAATCTTGTGAATTTTCTAATGCATTTATTAAAGAGGTTCAATGAATTCTCTCAGACAGTAAGATCAAGCTTCAGCTAGAACACTGGAACACCACAAGTCTAAAAATCCATCTTATTTTAGCATAATATTATAAGCTAAGAAGGAAACATTCAAACTTAGACAAAACACAGAGAACTAATTACAAAATGCCAACATAAGAAACAAATAATTATACATATTTTTTAATGTATATAATAATACTGAATTCATAAATTTAGTGCGGAATTCATTCCAAACAGTAGTGTGAATAAGAAAGTTAAAATAAAAGAAAATGCAACCACTCTCATTCCCACCTCTTTGAAAGGAACTCAACAGACCCAGTTTTCATTTATTACTTTCTGCCTGTGATGGATCATAGTATTAAGGTGCTCAGCCTTGCCAACTCCACCTTTATTACATAGAAGCTCTCTAGAATTCAAGAACTTTTAAAGTAAAAGTTATTTAGTTGTGGTATACCTCAGAACTGAAAAGCCTTAATTAGCTTAAAGTCCTGTGATGAGGACAGAGTGCACCTATAATGCTTTTAAAAATAACCCTTTACTTACGTCAATAGGGACCAGAAGACTCTTGCCAAGATGTTGATTAAAAGAGAGGCACCAGGCTTCAGTGTAACCATTCATATTAGGAACATACTTCTTTATTGTCTCATCATTCAGTCTCAGCCATACACCATCATCATTGTGGATCTGTGAGAAATAAGCATCAAAAACGAGCCATGGCCTCCTGTAACTCCTATGAGGCTAGCAAGGGCTGAAAGGCTACAAAGCAGGCAAATAATGGTGGACATGGAGATTAAGCATCTAGTTTTGCAGAAGGTAAGTATGAGAGAACCTTTAAGGAAAAAAGCATCAAGGGCACACCAAGCAATATATTTCACATGGTGAGATTGTAAAAATAATGTCACGTAGGAGTAAAAGTACAAAGATATTACACTTTAAAATAAAAACTTGAAACATAAAACCAGATGTTTCCCAAAAGAACATGTCTTCCTTCCCCTCAATTTAGATTTTAATAATCAGAACTTATTTGGTTATTTTATTAGAAAAATATACTGTCAAAGTTAAAGCAATAAACACATTTAAAAATAAACAACATGAACTATACGCATTTTCAATGAGTGCTTATACAGATCCTGACTGCTATGTTAACTGAGTTCCTTTCATTTTAAAAATATAATTTTAGCCAGACGGGATGGCTTAGTGGTTGAGTATCAACCTATGAACCAGGAGGTCACAGTTTGATCCCCAGTCAGGGCACATGCCTGGGTTGTGGGATCCATCCACAGTGAGGGGCTTGCAGGAGGCAGCCAGTCAGTCAATGATTCTCTCTCATCATTGATGTTTTTGTCTCTCCTTTTCTCCCTTTCCTTTCCTCTCTGAAATCTATCTATCTATCTATCTGTCTATCTTATCTTATCTATCTATCTATCTATCTATCTATCTATCTATCTATCTATCTATCTATCATCTATCTCTTTAGTTATTTTATTGATAAAGAAAAATAAATGTAATGCTTAAAACTCAATGAACACATTTTGAAAAACAATTTTCCAAACACTACCCAAACTAGTTAAAAGATATTCTAACAAAAAATTTAGTAACCTTATTATTGTGCAAACAAATGCAAAAACTTTCTGTTCAAGATTACCAGGTGTTTCATTATAAATTACCTCATCAATAAAAGTGATCGTTCCATTGACTTTCACTATGCCTATCTGCTCACTCTGAAGGGAAGGGTGACTGCGGATACGGAGCCCTGCACTGTCCTTGGCCACAAATTTTCGAACCTGAGAAAAGCAAAGATAGATAGGGAAAATCATGGGATAGAGATCTCATAAGTAGTAAGAGATAAAATTAAACAGATTTGAATGTATTATTAATTCTAATAAAGTTTCTAAAATTATTGGTAGCTGCTTTCCTTGTGCAAGTAACAGTGGTTTATTTATAACAAAAGTATTAAAGTGTACATTACTGAAAAAATTAGAAAATTATTAATATATATTTATATTTTCCTCTCTAAATTTTGAAGACATAATAAAAAGGAGAAAAGAACTATAATTTTATTGTTAGAAAAGTATAATATAAATTCTTTACCAATGTTTCCTTTTTAATAAAGTTTACAAAAATTCCTCTATTTACTTTCAATGTTAGGAAATTAATTTTTCTTAGTAGCAAGGATACTTTAACTTTGCAAACTTTATACACTTCTGAGCAGTAGACCTTTTGTGAGTTGTGAATTTTCAATGAACAGAAAGTACACAAGGCCTATAAATTACTTAAGTCTTATACAAAGAAGCCAAAAAGTACAGGTTATACTATTTAGAAATGATTAGAATTACCATGGACAACTCTTTAAAATTATTGAGGGAGATATAGAATTCAAATATTAAAGTCAAATAAAATATCAGATGTTTGATGGCCACCTGCAGCAACAATGAAGAAAATTAATAAATCTCTGACTGATTCAGATTCTGATTTCATCCTATCCTAACCTTATTTGGTTGAGGTTCAGTCTTTGGTTTGACCAGCTGAGTTCCCGGTGGTATCATCCCTTTAGGTGGGTCTTTGACTTTTACTTCTAGGCCAGCATCTGTAAGAAACGGAAGTAAACTGTAATGTTTGAGAATACAAGAAAGGGAGGATTCTTATACCTAACCTTATAAACTATCACAGGCTATTTTAAACAGTTGAAACAAATATCTGAATTCTGTTCTTTTAAGGTCACTGATATTTATAGTTAACAAAGAGAAGTATTTGAAAAATGGCCCTGAGATTCCAAATTGGTGTCTTAGAGTTCAAGGAAAAGAGTTCACATTCTTTATCTGGACACATGAAATCATAATGAGATCCTGAAGGGCAGAACTGCTGTGAAGGGAAACCCAACCTCACCACCACCCAGACTGGCCTCAGATGCAAACTGGGACCCTACAGCCTCTCTGGACAAAGACCTGTTACCACAGCTGCAGACCCATGGACACGAAACTCCAGTTATCCTGGCCGCAGATTCCTGTGAGTCACAGAGTGCATCCCCCTCCCGCTGGCCCGCTGCAGCAGCATAGGGCTTGCCTAACCCAGAGTGCATGAGTGGGCCTCCCGCTGACACAAGGCGCCCGTGCAACCCAGTCCCCTAGCAGGCCTGCAACTCTGATTCTTGGCACCTGTGCGAGGCTGCAAGGAGCGCCAATGACTCAGAGTCTCAGTGCATACATATGGGGACTCTGACTCTTGGCGTGCGGGAGAGGCCGCACTGAGCGCCAGTGACTCTAAGTCTCAGCGTATGAGTGCACAGGGACTCTGATTCTCAGCACACGTGGGCAGGGATTCTGATAATCAGTGCACGCGTGGCCGCATCAAGCACCAGTGATGCAGATTCTTGGTGCACACACGCGGGGGCTTGGATTCTTGGTGCATGTGAGCGGGCACTCTGATTCTCGGTGCACGTATGCGTGGGAAATCTGATCCTTGGCACGTGCGCGAAGCCGAACCGAGCGACAGTGACTGATTCTCAGCGCATGCATGCAGTGACTCTAGATTCTCGGCGCTTGCATGCGGGGACTCTGATTCTCGGTGCTCGTGACTCCCGCCGACCCAAGGCAGCCATGCGCCTCGGTGCCTGTGCTCGGGTTGCGCGACACTCCCACCGTACGTGGCTCAGGCCCCTGCAATTCTGCACTTGGACCTTCTGGTGATAGCCAAAATGGGGAGACAACAAAAAAATCACAAAAGGAAAGAAAAGGAGGAATCAAGAATAAAGGAGCTAAATGTAAAAGAGGCATGCAAGCCCTCACCGGTTTGGCTCAGTGGACAGAGCGTCGGCCTGTGGACTGAAGGTCCCAGGTTCGATTCCGGTCAAGGGCATGTACCTTGGTTGCGGGTACATCCCCAGTGGGGGGTGTGCAGGAGGCAGCTGATTGGTGTTTCTCTCTCATCGATGTTTCTAACTCTCTATCCCTCTCCCTACCTCTCTGTAAAAAAAATCGATAAAATATATTTTAAAAAAAGAGGCATGCAATATGTCAGAAAAAGGATTCAGAGTAATGGTCATACAGTTCATAAACCGGATGGACGAGAAAATCAACAACCTATGCAAGAATCAGGAGGAAATCAAAAGTTAGATAGCTACACTAAGGAACACGATGGAAGGTTTCAACAGTAGACTAGAAGTGGAGGACTGAATTAGTGAGTTAAATTAAGTAGAGAAACAAGCCCAATCTGAACAGCAATTGGAGAAAAAAATAAAAAAGCAGGAGCCTAAGGGAGCTTTGGGACAACATGAAACGAAGTAACATACATATAATAGGGGTGCCAGAAGGACAAGATGAGCAACAAGGATTATCTGAAGAAATAAGACAGAAAACTTCTCTGAGATGCGGAAGAAAAAGTCACACAAGCACAAGGTCCCAAATAAGATGAACCCAAAAAGACCCAAACCAAAACACATCATCATTACAAAGGCAAACATTAACAACAAAGAGAGAATCTTAAAGGCTGCAAGAGAGAGAGACAGAGAGTTACCTACAAAGGATCTCCCATCAGATTATCAAATGATTTCTCAACAGAAACACATCAGGCCAGAAGGGAATGGAATAAAGTATACAAAGTGATGCAAAGCATGGAACTGAACCCAAGAATACTCTGGATATCCAGCAAGGATATCAATCAAAATTGAAGGGGAAATCAGGAGCTTCACAGACAAAAAAAGGCTAAGGGAGTTTATCACTACCAAGCCAGCAATGCAAGAAATGCTAAAGGGACTGTTGTAAAAAGAATAGAAAGGGAAGAAGGAACACAGGCATAAAGAATATAAATGGCTACAAACAAGTACCTATCAATAATAACATTAAATGTAAATGGACTAAATGCTCTAATCAAAAGACATCGAGTGACTGGATAAGAAAACATGACCCATATATATGCTGTCTACAAGAGACCCACCTCAGAACAAGGGACTCATACGGACTGAAAGGATAGAAAAATATCTTTCAGACAAATGGAGATGAAATAAAAGCTGGGGTAGTAATACTTATATGCGACAAAATAGATCTCAAAGTGAAGGCCATAACAAGAGACAAGTAAGGCCACTTCATAATCCTAAAGGGATCGATACAACAAGAGGATATAGCTCTGGTAAACATATATGCACCCAATGCAGGATCACCCAAATACATAAAAAAACTTCTGGAAGATATCAAGGGAGAGAATTGACAGCAATACAGTCATAGTATGGAACTAATACTGCACTGACAACACTGGGTAAATCCTCTAGACAAAAATTCAGCAAAGAAACAGCAATCTTAAATGACTCATGGGATCAGATGGACTTAATTAACATCTTAAGGACATTCCAACCCAAAGCTACAGAATATACATTCTTCTCAAGTGCAGATGGGACATTTTCAAAGATAGACCACATATTGGAACACAAGCAAAGTCTCTTCAAATTCAAGAAGGTTAATATCATATCAAGCATCTTCTCAGATCACAATGGCATAAAATTAGAAATCAACTACAATACAAACAATGAAAAAAACCCAAACATTTGAAGGCTGAATAGCATGCTATTAAACAATGATTGGGTTACCAAAAAGATCAAAGAAATAAAAAACATCCTGGAAACAAATGACAATGACAACACAACAATTCAAACTCTATGGGGCACAGTGAAAGCAGTCCTGAGAGGGAAGTTCATAGCATTACAGGCCTACCTCAAAAAAACCCAGAAAAACTGAGAATAAACCATTTAACTCAGCAACGTGAAGAATTAGAAAGAGAGCAACAAGAAAATCCCAGAGTGAGCAGAAGGAAGAAAATAATAAAGATCAGAGTGGAAAAAATGACATGGTGACCAAAAAACAATACAAAAGATCAATGAAACCAAGAGCTGGTTCTTTGAAAGGATAAACAAGATTGATGAACCTCTAGCCAGGCTCACCAAGAAGCAAAGAGAGAAGACCCAAATAAACAAAATCAGAAATGAAAGAGGCAAAATAACAACAGACCCCACAGAAATAAGAAGAATCATAAAAAAAAACTATGAGCAACTCTATTTCAACAAACTGGTAAACCTAGAAGAAATGGACATATTCCTAGAAAAATACGACCTTCCAAAACTCAATCAGGAAGAATAAAAAAATCTGAGTAGGCCGATAACTATGGAGGAAATTGAAGCAGTAATAAAAAAAATTCCAACAAACAAAAGCCCTGGACCAGACAACTTAACAGGGGAGTTTTCTCAAGCATTCAAAGAAGAATTTAAACCTATCCTACTCAGACTATTTCAAAAAATACCCCTCATGAACATAGATGCCAACATTATCAACAAAATTCTAGCAAATCGGATCCAGCAGTACATCAGAAAGATCATACACCATGACCAAGTAGGATTTATTCCAGGCATGCAAGGATGGTACAATATCTGCAAATCAATAAACATGATATACCACATAAGCAAATTGAGAAATAAAAACCAAATAATCATATCATTGATACAGAAAAAACATTTGAAAAAATCCAACACCCTTTCTTGATAAAAACTCTCAGCAAGGTAGGAATAGAAGGATTATACCTCAACATATTAAGCCATATGTGACAAACCTACAGCAAACAACATACTCAATGGGCAAAAACTAAAACCATTTCCCCTAAGAACAGGAACAAATAGGGATGCCCGCTCTCACCACTCCTGTTCCACATAGTACTAGAAGTACTAGCCATAGCGATTAGACAAGAAGAAGAAATAAAAGACATTCAAATTGGAAAAGAAGAAGTAAAACTGTCCTTATCTGCATATGACATGATATTGAACATAGAAAATCCTAAAGATTCCATCAAAAAACTACTAGAATTAAAAAATGAATTTGGCAATATAGCAGGATACAAAATTAACACCCAGAAATCTATGGCTTTTTTATACACCAATAATGAACTCACAGAAAGAGAAACTAAAAAAAAATCCCATTTACTATTGCAACAAAATAATTAAGATACCTAGGAATAAATTTAACCAAGGAGGTAAGAGACCTGTACTCAGAAAATTACAGGACACAGACAAAAAGAGACAGAAGAAGACATAAACCAATGGAAGAATATATCATGTTCTTGGATTGGTAGAATCAACATCATTAAAATGTCCATACTACCCAAAGCAATCTATAAGTTCAATGCAATTCCCATTAAAATACCAATGGCATATTTCCAAAACCTAGAACAAACTCTCCAAAAATTCATCTGATATAAAAAAAGACCCTGAGTAGCTGCAGCAATCTTGAGAACAAAGTTGGAGAGATCACAATACCAGATATCTAGCTATACTACAAAGCCACGGTTCTCAAAACTGCCTGGTACTGGCACAAGAACAGACATATAGACCAGTGGAACAGAATAGAGAACCCAGAAATTGACCCAAGCCATTATGCTCACTTAATATTTGACAAAGGAGGCAACAGCATACAATGGAGTCAAGACAGTCACTTCAATAAACGGTGTTGGGAAAATTGGACAGAAACATGCAAAAAAATGAAACTAGGCCACCAACTTACACCATACACAAAAATAAACTAAAAATGGATAAAAAACTTAAATGTAAGTAGGGAAACCATAAAAATCTTAGAAAAAGTCATAGGCAGCAAAATAGCAGACATTTGTCGTAGCAATATCTTTACTGATACAGCTCCTAGAGCAATGGAAACTATGGAGAAAATAAACAAATGGGACTACATCAAAATAAAACCTTCTGCACAGCAAAAGAAACCATCAACAAAACAACAAGAAAGCCCACTGCATGGGAGAATATATTAGCCAATGTTATCACCGATAAGGGTTTAATCTCCAACATTTATAGGGAACTTATACAACTTAACAAAAGGAAGATAAACAATCCAATCAAAAAATGGGCAAAGGACCTAAATAGACACCTTTCAAAAGAGGACATTCAGAAAGCCAAGAGACATATGAAAACTTGCTCAAAGTCACTAATCATCCAAGAGATGCAAATCAAAACAATGAGGTACCATCTCACACCTGTCAAAATGGCTATCATCAAGAAATCTACAAACGACAAGTGCTGGAGAGGATGTGGAGAAAAAGGAACCCTCTTGCACTGCTGGTGGGAATGCAGACTGGTGCAGCCACTGAGGAAAACAGTATGGAGTTTCCTCAAAAAAATAAAAATGGAACTCCCATTTGACCCTGTGATCTCACTTCTAGGAATATATCCCAAGAAACCAGAAACACCAATCAGAAAGGATATATGACCCCCCCTGTTCATAGCAGCACAATTCACCATACTAAGATCTGGAAACAGCCTAAGTGCCCATCAGCAGATGAATGGATTAGAAAACTGTGGTACATCTACACAATGGAATACTACGCTGCGGTAAAAAAGAAGGAATTCTTCCATTTGCAACAGCATGGATGAAACTGGAGAGCATTATGCTAAGCGAAATAAGCCAGTGAGAGAAAGATAAATATCACATGATCTCACTCATTTGTGGAATATAAAGAACATCATAAACCGATGAACAAAAATAGATACAGAGACAAAGAAGCATTGAACAGACTGTCAAACTTCAGCGGGAAGGCAGGAAAGAGTGGGGGGGGGGGGCGTAAAAGATCAACCAAAAAACTTGTATGCATGCATATAACATATCCAATGGTCACAGACACTAGGGGGGTGAGGGCATGTGACAGGAGCCCGAGTGAGGTAAATAGGGGAAAAAAGGAGACATATGTACTACTATTTTTATACTTTAAACAGTAAAAAAAAAAAAAGAATAAATTATGAGCCCTCTCCCCCCCAAAACAGAAAGAAATCATAATGAAAAAATTAAAAAGAAACCCTTGCATGATTAAACATTATCTCGCAACATCAGATCAGAGTGTGACTCATTATCTATAGCAATCACCTCTATCACTGAGGTGTAACACAGTATGATGGTTAAGAACTGGAGTGCATACATTAGACTGTCTTGTTTGTACCCATATCTGCTGCTATGTGATTCTCTGTGCAAGCACAGCACCTACCTGACTATGCTGTTGTGAGAATGAAATTATTTAAAATATATAAGGTTGGACATATATTAAGTGCTCAATTAATGTTAGCTATTATTATTATAACTAGAGGCCCGATGCACAAATTTGTGCAAGTGCCTTGGCCTCGGCCCCTGCCCGCCGCCGCTACTGTGGCTGGGGGCCTCTGCTGCCTCTGCTGTGGCCCCAGCCCACTATGGCTTTGTCTAGGAAGAAGGACATCTGGAAGGACATCCGGTCTAATTAGCATATTATGCTTTTATTATTAAAGATCATTCTAATATCTGCCCTTTTCTATGCTCAAATAAGGCCCCAGTCTACTGACAGTTTGTACACCTCAGAACCAAAATGTTTGCTGAATTAAGGCTTTATGGATATGTTGAAATAAAGGAGAATGTAACAAAGGCTGAGGATAAAGGTCTTTGGAATGAGATAGATGAATTTGAGATATCTGATTCTACAGATATCTCATTAATGTATATTCCTTATAGTTACATCAATGTAAAGTACCCCTTCACCTTCACTGTAAAAACAAACTTGTACTATTTCCCAAAGGATATCCTGGTGGAATGTTAATCAGGATTATTTTTATCTCTACCTGTCTCCCTTTTCCTCACATTCAAGGGTTTCATGTAAGGATTAAACAAATATTCTTTAAAAAAAATTTTTTTATTAAATCTACTGGAGTGAGATTGGTTAATAAAATTATATAGTTTTCAAGCACACAATTCTATAATACATCATTTGTATAGTGTATTGTGTGTTCTCCACCCCAAAGTCAAGTTTTCTTCTATCACATGTTTCCCCCTTTTACACTCTTCTACTACCCCTCACCCCCCCTTTGATAATGACCATACTGCTATCTCTTTCTATACGTTCTTATTTATAATTATTTTGTCTGTTCATTTGTTGCTTTCAGTTTTATATCCTATATATCAGTGAACTCATGTGGTTCTTGACTTTTTCCATCTGAGACAAGATTCTTAATTTCAGAACTTCTTGGAATCTCTAATGTGTGAATGTGCGTGGTATGAGTGGCCAAGCTGAGACCACAGTACACGAGGTTTTCTAAATCCACCTGATCATAGGAGCCCTTTTTCTTAAGGAGCATCAGGAAAGATAGTGCCACAAGGAATTCATATTGACAGACACTTATTAGAGTTTTCTTGTTCTACTGTTATCCTATTATATGGATAGTTAAAAAAATAAAAAAGATTAACATCCAAAGTAAAAGCAGTAAACTATCCCAAGTTAGTAGTCGATAAAGAAAATTCATTCATGCAACAAGTATTTATCAGGCAGCCATTATGTGCCAGGCACTGAGCTAGATTGGGAGATCCAAAGATGAATGGATCACAGACAGGAAAGGAAGACAGGAAAGGAAGACAGATATACCATGAGGTGGATGCAAGGTATGTGCACAGTTATATAGCAGCTTGAAGGATATCATACCTAATCAGTCACATCAGGGAATGAAGGGAAGGAATCATGAGGGCTATAATGACACCATAAATTACTACAAAATTTTAAGGCCTTATGAATATACTAATTCGCTACTCATTATAAAGGAGAAAACAAAGCCCCAAATAAGTTATGAAATTTGTCCATGTCTATGATACAAGTTAAAGAGCAAAATAGAACAGAAAGATAATTTTGATTCTAGTTCTTTGGACTTAGTAACTCATAACTTTAAAAAAATACCTATTTCAAAAAAATTACCTATTTCAATGCCATCAATGGTAACATGAATAGTGTAGAGTCCAATAGCCCCTGGAGTCCAATTTGCACAATAAGTGCCATCATTATTGACACGGATTAACATATTCTCACTGGGTCTGAAAAGAAATATGATGAATATTGGAAAATTTACTTTTAGTTAAACAGCTGACAATATCATTAAAATATATCAGCAAACATTTAATTTCTGATTGAATTATTACAATAAATGACAATCCTATTGTTCTGCCATAGTATGTTTTCCTACTCTCCAAAATGACTGAGTTTCATTTTTTTCTTTCTCACTTCAAACCTCCTCTGTTGATCATGACATCACTTTCTTCAGTGAGAAGCAGAAGCTAGAGATACAACCTCAAAGTTGCAATAAGATTAATAAACCTACTTTCCTCTACCTTCTATGTTGTTACAATGGAAGAAGTATCCTGGGTCTTATTCAAAGTCAGCCCCTCACTTGTGCTGTGAATCTCATTCCCTCAGCACTTCCATGCTACAATTACCTTGCTCTCTCTCATTCATCATCAATTTCTCTCACTTTACTGGATCATTTCTATTTCTCTTTTATTTCTATACAAAGAAACCTCAGAATCTCTTATTCTAACCACTTCTTGATATACAGCCCTTTCAAATAAAGTCTTATCTCTTTTTTTCCATTTATATCAAAACTTACCTAAACAATTATCTATAATCACCATGTTCATTTCCTCATCTCCAATTCTCTTCCACAATTTATCCTAACTAGGCTTTTGTTCCCAACACTTCACTGCAATTGCTTATGGCAAAGTCATTATCACACCACCAATTTAAACAGTTGTTTTCTTCGTCTTCAGCAATCTCTCAGTAATACTTGATGGCTGACAACTTTTAATTTCCTGAAATGCCTGCTTTTTGCTCCTGGTTCCTCTAATCTCACTGACCATTCTAAGTGTCTTGTTGGCTCTCTCTCTCTTGACCACCCTTTAACTATGGAATGTCCCAAGATTTTGGTCTAGGTCTTTTTTTTTTTTCCTCGCTTTGAATAGCATCTCTCTAGTTGCTCATTCACCTATTACTCAGTTTTAAATGCCATCTCTGTATAGATGACTCCAAAATTATTTGTCCCCTGAATTCCAAACTGATTATTTCCAGTTGCTCTGGAAATACCCCTACTTAGAAAACTAAGAGGCATCCTGGCATCTCAACTGCAATATATCCTAAGAAGGACTCTTATTTCCTACTCATCCTACCACCTAACAAAACAAAACAGAATAAAAAACACTTGTTAATTTCTGAGGCTTTTTGATCCTCGTAAAAATCATGATAATCTATACCAGGGGTCAAAAGCGTTTTCTGTAATAATACTTTAATCTACTATGCTAAATAGTCTGTCACAATTACTACATAGTGGGAAAGAAGCCATAGACAAAATTTAAGCTAATGAGTAAGGCTGTATCCAATACAACTTTATTTTAAAAAACAGTTCCGAATTAGTCTGCAGGCCAAAGTTGGCTGACCCCTTTACAGCAAATACGTTATACTGCTGCTAAAGCTGAGAAATCTATAATCATTCTTGATTCTTCTCTTTCCTTCATCCCCTATTTCTAGTCTAGCAGCAAGGCTATTGGCTTTGCCTTCTAAGTATATCCCAAATGCACCCATTTCTTCAGTTCCATTCCACTCCTTAATAGTCAAACTAATCTCTCTGTTCCCACTCTTGATCCCCTATAATTCATTCTCCAGAAAGTAGCCAGAATAATCTTTTAAAACTATAAATCAGATTATATAATTCCCCTGTTTAAAACCCTCCAAATATATTCACTTAGGAAAAAAGTCAACTCCTTAAAATAGCCTACCAGTTTCTATATAATATGGCCATCAGATAGTTCTCTAGTGTCATCTTCGATCATTTTCTTTTGCTCACTATTTCCCGGCCACATTATGTTTCTGTTCCTCAAACACATCAAAAGCTTCATTCACCAATTTTTTCATTGCCTAGAATGAACTTTCCCCAACCCCCTCACTATTAAGTAACCTTATTTATTATTACTATTTTGGTTACGTATTCATAGTTTGCTTCTCTACAGCAACATAAATGCTATGAGAACCAGCCAGTACCTTGTCTATCTTGTTCAGAAATATATGCCATGGCCTCTACCAGTGTATTTCACAGAGCAGATGCTTAACAGTATTTGATGAATAAATGTATTTACTTAGATAAAATACTATTTTAATTAGGTTTAAAATGCACAATGCATATGAAAACTTATTTACTAGCAAATGGTCAATCAGTTCTTATTTAACATGCTATATATGTATATACAGTTAATATTTATTTCATAAAAAGCATATACTTCCACTGTATAGACATTTTGTAACTAAAATTACACCAGAGAAAAAAATACTACTTCCCTATTTCTAGACAAAGATACTTTTTCAAAACTTGGGCTATTTTGACAAAAAACTCTCTAGACTATGCATTAAAACTCTACTGTGCATACATCAAAAGGAAGTCCTAGTAACCTGCTAATTCCTGGTAAGTCATGTGATATGATGCAATAAAACATATAATTATACTTTTTCAGACTCACTTTAGACCTTTTTCTAAATTCTATGGAGGTGGTCTTTAAAGTATAATCCATCTAAATTTCCAGCCCCGCCCCCCAAGCATTTACTTTAAAAAGTATTTCTCCTAACCACCAACTAAAACAGTAGGTAAAAATATATGCTTAAATCTGGTGTTAACAGAATTAACCAGGGGCTGAAAAATTAAGACTTCATAATAAAAAAACACTAAGTGCTCTGCAGCTCATCAGATGGAGAGAAGGAAGCAAAAACAGAAAAAAGAACAACACCTAGCCCTCAATGAGCCAAATTATATCTTTTAGATATTATTCTTTTTTAAATTTTAGTGATATATTTCATTTAACCCAATATATCAAAAAAATTTCCATAGGTAATCAATATTAAAAATTATTCATGAGATTTTTTTTACATTCCTTTTTTTCTTTCTTTAATTTATATTTATTTTTGAAATTGAATTTATTGGGGCGACACTGGTTAATAAAATTATATGTTTCAGGTGTACAATTCTATAGCACATCAACTGTATAGATATTATTTGTTCTCTATTACCTTAATAATTATGTAACATATTAGCAGTACTGTAGCTGATAATCTACACATTATACAATTTTTAGTAGATCTCTATGGAAAAACTTTAAAAATGCTATATTTATTTGTGGAAAATAAAGTTGAAATCCAGTTGACAACACATGTTTTGGATATGTGTGGAGGAAAGGATCCTTACCTCTTAGGAGTTGGTGATGCAAAACGTAGTTCTTCAAATGAGTAGTTTTCATAAACCTTTAAGAAAGAGACCAGTAAGAATCACAAAATCATTAGGAACATTCTTGTTTAATTCAGTGATAGAACATCCAACAAATGGTGCTGAGAGAAATGGTTATCCGCATAAGTGAAAAAGTAAAACCTCAATTAGCTACATCACACAATTTACAAAAATAAATTCTAGGTGTGTTTAAGACCCAAATGTAAAAATAACAGCACCTACAAATTTAGAAGAAATCTGAGTACATTAAAATATAAATTTCTCTAAAACAAAGACACTATAAAGAAAGGGCAAAGATAAGCTTTCCCTTGGAAGAAGGAGATTTGTAATTCACATAACTAAAATGTGATATGTATCATTAATATATAAAAAATAAATGAATACAAAAAAGAGAAACATAAATGAAAAGTGTGTAAAGACATGTCAGTGAAGAAGAAATCTGATTCAACTAGACTGGGAATGAAGGAAATGTGAATTAAAACAACAAAATAATCATATTACAGTTATCAAACTGTGTTGGTAAGAATCATATGCTGATGAGAATATTAAGTTCCTAGTACTTTTATACAATGCTGGTATAAATTTTGATCATATTTGATATAGCTGAAGACAGCCATGCCCTATAATCCAGCAATCCTACCTCTAGATATATCTTTGAGAAAAAAAAACACCTCTTGCACACATAGAAAAGGAAACATATACAAGGATGTTTATTTCAGTACAGTTTATAATAGTGAAAAAAACTAGAAACAACTTAAATGTCCATCAACAGGAGAATGTGAAAATGACGGAACAGTTAATATACTGGAATAGTTGGGGTCTTTTTTGGTTCCATATATATTTACTAATTTGTGAATATTGTACTAACTTTGCACCCCAGAATAAATCCCACTTGATCATGGTATATAATCTTTTTAATGTATTGCTGGATCCAATTTGCTTATATTTTGTTGAGGATTTTAGCATGTATGTTCATCAAGGATATTGGACTATAATTTTTTTTCTTTGTAGTGACTTTATCTGGTTTTGAAATTAGGATAATGCTGGCCTCGTAAAAAGAGCGTGGAAGTCTTCCCTCCTCTTGAATTTTTTGCAATATTTGAGAAGGGGAGATGTTAGTTCTTCTCTGAATGTTTGGTAAAATTTGCCTGTAAAGCCATCTGGTCCAGGACTTTAGTTTGCTGGGAGTTTTTTGTTTACTGCTTTTTTAAATTGGCTTCCTCAGGTTTTCTGAATGATCCTGATTCAGTTTTGAAAGACTGTATGTTTCTAGGAATTTGTCCATTTTGCCCAGGTTGTCTAATTTGTTGGCATATAGTTGTATGATACTTTCCTACAATCCTTTGTATGTCTATGTCATGTGTTACTTCTCTTGTTTCATTTCTGACTTCATTTATTTAGTCCTCTTTTTTTTTTTTTGATGAGTATGGTTAAAGGTTCATCAATCTTATTTATCTTTTCAAAGAACCAGCTCCTGGTTGCACCGATCTTTTGTATTGTTTTTTAGTCTCTATGTCATTTATATCCAGTCTGATCTTTATTACGTCCTTCCTTCTGCTTACTCTGAGCATTTCTTGTTCTTTTATCAGTTCTTTTTAGGGGTAGATTGTTTGAGATATTTCTTGCTTCTCATGGTAGGCCTATAATGCTATGAACTTCTTCTCAGGACTGCTTTCACTATGTCCCATAGATTTGGGGTTGTTGTGTGCTCATTTTCATTTGCTTCCAGGATTTTTTATTTCTTTATTGGTAACCCATTCATTGTTTAATAAAATGCTATTTAGCCTCCATGTGTTTGAAGTGGGTTTTTTTTTATTGTAGTTGATTTCTGGTTTCAAGACATTGTGATCTGAGAACATGCTTGAGATGATTTCAATCTTCTTGAATCTGTTAATACTTATTTTTTTTTCAGAATGTTCCATGTGCACTTGAGAAGAATGTATATTCCGCTGCTTTGGGATTAAATGTTCTGTAAATATTAATTAACTCCATCAGATCTAGTGTGTCGTTTAAGGTCGCTGTTGCTTTCTTTAACCACCATGTGCTCAACTCCCTTCTCTCACTATTCATGTGTTGAATTAGCTGACAATATTCAATTCTGAATCAATCCCATAATTATATTACCCATGTTTATATGACTCACACTGCACTGTAGATCTTCAATTTCAACTGATTCTTCAAGGATGACTGAAAATCTTTCAAATCAGTTCTCCTTAATTCTCCACAATGACTATTTCATTTTTTCCCTTTGTTTCAAATTCCTGACCCTAAGATTCCTTACTTCCCTCTCCCACCTAAAAAACAATTACTATTATAAGTAATTATAAATTACTGCACAACCTCCAGATTTACTAGGATCTGTATTAATTCTATTTCCTGATTGAAGAAAAGAGGCAATATTCCTTCTATTTAAGGCTAATCTCTCCACCTAAACTCTATTTTTTTAAAATCTCTCCCAAACTGTCTTCATGGTTTCATTCCTTTCAATTTTCTCCTCATCAGTATTAAAACTTATCTTTCTATATTCAATCCCAGTCTCAAAAGTTTTCACTTAATTCTGTTTCCTGTTTCTTTTTATAACCAGACATCTTAAAAAACTATATTCATTTTGCCTTTAGCCATCTTAACTTCCTCTTCATCAATCCACTATGCCTGTAAAACTGCTACTGCCAAGAACACTGATGAATTCATTGTTGCTAGATCCTTTTCAAAACTTCACTCCTGCAGGATTCTTTCCTTGACTTTCAAAACATGCCATAAGGCAGTTAGGGTCAGGTAGGAAAATTAAATCTGGAGTCAGACTCCTAGCCGTAGATGTTATTTAACCTCTCCATGCTTCAGTTTCCACATATGTAAAATGGGAACGAAAACAAAATATATAGGGTTCTTATGAGGGGTAAATGAATTACCATATGTAAAGTGGTGGTAAAAGTGGCAATAGTAATCGTTGGTACTAGTTTATGTCTTAGCTCCTTGGCTGGTATTCTTATCAATGTTTGTGTGTGTTTTTTTCTTTTCCTTCTTTCTTTTTCTTATCTATCTTGTAAATCAATATTTCTCAAAGTTTAGGTTTTAAACTTGAAACACTCTGCATATGATTTTTAGCAAATTCTTGAACCTCTCTCTAGATTTAATGGATCTAAATCTTTGGATGAATGAAAGATCTTTTTCTTTTAAATAGGTGCTTCAGATTATTCTGATATAGACAAAAGTTTGTTTTCTTAAACTATTCATTTATATGATGTAGACAAAATTTGAGAATCACTGTACTGGTTTTTCTTAGGATCCTGTCCTGGAACTTCTCTTTTCACTCATGAAAGTAGATATCTATCTTCATGAGGAGTTCAAGTGCTAACTGTCCTCAAATTCTGTTCTTGTGGTCAGACTGTGATCATTCCAGGTTTCTATCCAACTTCCTTTTATATATATTTTCATATGGTTATTTCAGAGATATCTAAAACTCATCACATCCATAACTATTATTTTCCTCAACCAAAAGACGCCTCTCTGCCTAGATTATCAATTTCTCTGCTGAAGCTCAAAATGTTAACTTCATTTTTTATTTCCTATCTCTTTCTCTTTACTCCAACCCCATTAGCCACCATTCCCATTGAGTCTAAATATCTCTGGAATCTATTTTGACAACTCTGTAGTCCAAGGCATCAGCATATCTCAAAAGACTAAATCAAGAGTCTCCTAAAGAGACTTAAACTAAACCATGACTCTTGATCATTTACCCAATCACATTCTCTATAATCCACCATGATCTTTATAAAACACAAACCTAATTATGCCATTCCTCTAAACGAAAGCCTTGAATGGCTTACCACTTCATTCTAATAATGGCAAAATTACCAGTTTCGGCTTCAATTAATGATAACAATTTCTGCTTTAATTAATAACATGTTGGTAATTTAGACTAAAGCTGCCTCTGAAGGGAATTAAAAAGCTGGACAAAATATTTTTTTAAAATCTGTCTGAAGATATCAGGAGGCTAAAAAGCCTGAAGAAACCAACAGAGATGAAGGTGGCATTTGGGAGAATTCCAAAATTGAAGGGGGCTGGTTAGGTAAACTGAATCTCTGAAGGGCTATGTCCTAAGAGCAATGGTAAATTAAAAACAAACAAGTACTTCTGTAGGAACTGAAATATAATTTTCAACCATTTCAATCTCTGATTGAATCAATTTGATCTATTATTGGCAATCCCTTCTAGATGTCTTCCAAAAACAAATGAAAACCCTCTTTGAAGAAAAATAACACCATCCTCAACAATATGTTACAAGTTTTCCAACTACCAACAGCTCTATAGTCCTATAATTTTATGTCTGAATTTGAATGAATGAAATGTTTACTAAGTGAATAATTGGTAAGAAATAAAATTTTTCTGATAAGAAAAATAAATTACCTTCATCATTGTTATGGCAATATATCGGGCCTCCTTCACTATCATTGGTTCATATGAAACATCTAGCTTTGGTGATGCCAATCCACCAAAAGTCTTGTCAGTATTAGAAGATACAGCTGTTATGGCAGGACTGCCAGGAATCCTTTGAGGTTTCTTTACTTGCTCTTGTTGTAAAGATGTTTTTTTCTGAGAAACAGGAACAGCTTTCACTTCCACCTAACCATGATATTATTAAAAAAACCAAAAATTATATTATATAATTGTCTGTGACATATGAAAAGAAGCAATTTATAATTATGGACTCATAGTTTTATAAATATGTTATCATTGGTCCATCTTGGGCATTCCTGTCAAAGGCTTATTCAACTGCCAGATGAGATGCAGAGTTCAAAACCCTGATTATAAGGATGCTGAATGAATTTAGTGAAAGAGTAGATGAATTAAGTGAGAACTTCAACAAAGAGATAAGAAACATAACAATGAAGATAAAAACCGTAAAAATGAGCCACCTATAAAAATGAGAAATTAAGACTGCAATAACTGAAATGAAGACTACATTACAGAGAATCAACAGTGTAGAGGATGAAGCAGAGGATTGAATCAGTGGTTTGGAAGGTAGCAAAAAACACCCAAGCAGATCAGTATTTGAACTGACATAATGCCCTAAAAATATAAAAAAATCCATCTAAAATTAAAACAGAAGTTTAAAGATATATAGTATACTTCTTAAACTCATATATACATGGCCACCATTAAAAGCTTTAAACTTTTTAAAAAAGAAAAAGCTTCATATTTCAAAATATTTTATTTTAAATTATAGCCACTTTTTATATATGCTATTTTGATTTAATATTGTTTTAAACAACTATATTCACCCTAAATAAACATTAGAAGTGTATTTGTCCATTAACCTTGAAGTAAACCACTGAACACTTTTACACACTAAGTATTAAGATATTATAGAATGATAAGTACTCTGCTTTCTTTTACAAACTGTGCTTCCTTTAAAGAATTTTTGTTATTCTTTATTTCCAATGTGACTTTTTTGTTCACTAAATATCAAACAGTTGCTGCTTAAAAAAGCATTTCAGATCTCACTGAAATATTAGCTACAAATTTTTATGTTTCAAAAACTGGCTATTATTATGTAAGGATGCTTCAATAATTTTGGTAAGTCTAAAATGTTCCTAAAACTTCATGTGCTGCGAAAACTAAAAACACATTTTTCAGCTAATATGACAATATATTGATAAATTAAACATCAATAGGTATGGAAATCACTTTTCCTAAATAGTATTTACAGAAATTTCCTAGATATGGCTTCCAAATTAGAGATAAATCTGATATGGATTTTGAGTATAATGAATGAGAAGTTTAGTATAAAGGAGGACAGAGTAGGAGAAAAAAAAGGGAATCCAGAAAGATACATAGATCATGTGGGCAAAAAAAGAAACCAAAAAGGAAGAAAGCAAAAGATAAAAGCATAAAGTCTGACTTTGAAATGTAAGATATAAATAACCCAGATACCAAAATGGAATAAAATACAATAAAAGGTGCAAAGGAGGAAACATAAAAAAATACAACGAAAGAAATACTATACGCATAACAATATGAACATTAAAATGTTATGCTGACCTGGAAAATGTTATTACAATGTAGTCATACAAATAAGGAACTTATTGTGGGCTCAAAGACTGGATTTTAACAACTCACTACATACACTTAGGTGAGAAATTCATCAGTGAATAATACATTCTCCCCTCAATATATTAATGTGTATTGTATTTTGATAAAAATTCTTTCCTCAAGCATCTTTTTTGTGTGTCTGTGTCACCATCAGGATTATTTTTTTCTCTTTGCAATTTTTTTCCTTATAATTTTCTTTTTCCATTCCACAGAGTAATTCACAGTGGCTATAAAATCATTTTGATGGGGCATTACCTTCCATAAAAAAATCAAATAGAAAACAACCATAATGCAACATATTGTGTAAATATGTATTATATATGTTGTATATAAATAAGAGCATATAATATTCCATCCTATATATGTATGTTTGGGACCTGGTGCAAATCCTAATGGTGTGAGTCATTGTCAAAACTTTAAAAGACACAGGTAAAGCCTGATTTTTGCTTAGTATCGGGTTTAAATACTTTCCCATACAGTTTTACTTATTGGTCTTCATACATGTAAACCATATGGCTCTTGATTTTTTTACTATGAGTCAGGTAAAAGGTTCCACTGGCATTGTACTTCTTTGTGATATAAATCAAAGAATATACCAAGTAGTTGTAATAGTTCTACTAAAAGTAATATTGAGGTAAAATTATCTGCTATGTAATTAACAGGGATTTTGTGGACTGATAAACGCTAAACTCCAAACAATCAAATCACTTTGTAATACAGTAACTTTGAGTGAGGTGTGGGGGCAGCTGGGGTTTGCCTATACAAATTTTCATTCAATATTGATTTTTCTCAGAAATATAATAAAAGTTTAAAATGAGATATTTACATTAATAGATTATATCACAAAGGACTTAACTTTATACATTACGATATAGTCTAAATGTCTTTATTAATTAATGTCTTGGGGAAAAGGTATCCAAAGAACTATATTCATCAATACAGCACATGATTATTTACATTCTTCATTCTTTTACAATCCAAATTCATTTATTTCTAATTTATTTAATAAGTATCACTATTATATTTTCAATGTTTATTCAATAGCACAGAATGCAGAATGTATTTGAGTTTTAAAAAATATATACAGCCCTGACCGGTTTGGTTCAGTGGATAGAGTGTCAGCCTGCGGACTTAGCGGCCCCAGGTTTGATTCTGGTCAAGGGCATGTACCTCAGTTGCGGGCACATCCCCAGTGGGAGGTGTGCAGGAGGCAGCTGATCGATGTTTCTCTCTCATCGATGTTTCTAACTGTCTATCCCTCTCCCTTCCTCTATGTAAAAAATCAATAAAATATATTAAAAAATATATATATACACACATAAAATTTTACAATGTCTTCTTTTATTGATTAATTCTATCACTATGCATTGAGGGCCTTCCTTCTATGTGCTTGGCACTCTTTATTATGGACACTTCTTTTATCCTTCCTTTGCATCACGATAGCACCCAGCAAAATGTAAAAATCAAAAAAACATATAACTTGGAAAATCAGATGCTAATAATATAAACAAAATTTTTTTTGCTTCCTCCATTACATATATGTAAAGAAGGTCTGGCAAATGGTTTCTAGACACTTACCATTTCTAAAATTTTATTAGTCACAATCAATGCATAGATGTCCACTACTTTAATTTTGATATAATTACCTTCATATTGGGAACATGCACCACATCCCCATACTGGTCTTTTGTTTGAACAGTTATGGTAGTAGGCCAACCACAACGAATATCATCCTTATTCAGGATCAAAGATGTTTTCTGAGGATCTGCATAGGAATCTGGCTGAAGCCACCTAGCATTAATGAAAAAAACAAGCAAACAAACAAATAAAAAATTCATCAATATCTTCAATGATTAACCTGAAATTAAGCCAGCAGTGGCCTGGGATCACTAGTAGCAGCATCACTTTGGGAGCTTGTTAAAGTGTAGCATGTCAGGCCTGCCCCAGACATGCTGAGCCAGAATCTGCATTTAAACAAGATCCCCAGGGGATTTACAGCCACTTTATAGTGTGACCTGCACTGCAAATCTATCATTTCTCTACCAAAAATTTTTCAAATAAGCTGTTTTATTTTGGAAATCCTGAAACTACTTTTTCATTACTACCTGGCAGCAACTTTCTGGGAAGGGTAAATGCCTTATACCCCCCACCTGGGATTTAATCTGAGGCAGATGTGTAATCTCCTGGCATCAGGCACAGATTAGCTATTCAGCCATGATGGACTAAGGCACAGATAAATGGTTCTTGGCAAAATACAAGCTGGTTCTCCTGTGGCCTCCTGGTGGCTTGCCTGGTTAGTGGCCTTTCTATAGGAAACCTCCTAAGCTACTCTACCCCTGGAGTCTGACTTGGCAACTGCTGTCTCATCCATGCAATATTCTGAGACTGCAAAGCAGGCAAGCCCACCAGACTTGCTGCCATCAACAGGCCATCCAGGACACTGCTTCCAGCGAAGGCCAGAGGAGGAGAGAATCTAAGCCATGGACATCCTGAGCTCCAGGACTGGGGGTCTCTCACGTGTCTCCTTGCTTTGCCTTCCCAAGCAGGTGCTTGGTTCTCCCTAAATTTGAGCTACCTTGGCATCAATCCCTGTGAGCTAGGGTTTATTATCACAGCCCTCTTCCTAAATATCCACATCACTAGCTTCAGATTGGCCCTTGTACCTCTGAGAGAGTGACTAGAGTAGTCTTATTGCTTCCAACACAAAGGGCAACAGCTTATAGTTCTTTAGTCTTGATTCTCTAGTTCTAATAATGCCACAAAGATGATAAAAGTTTGCGTTTTCTAAAGCTGCATCAGTCACAATGAGGTTTACAAAGTGATGTTCTCTCTTGGCATCTTCTATATCACTGGTTCTAACTTTCTCAAAATATTTTCTCTGTTTATGAAACCAAGAGATTGGGGACAGGACTTTCTCCTCCTTGTAAGGTCACTGTCATTTGTCACCTGTTGCCTTGTTAATTACCTATTGTCACCTTCACATCGTAGGTGCCTCACAGGGATTAAAAATCCATCCAAAAGTTATTGACTTCATCAAAAAATGACTAAGTAAATAAGTGAGTAGACTATGATTAACCTGCTGTTAATTGCCCCCTGGCCTTACCAAGTACAGACGTCCCAATATATCCTTGTAAACTTGCCAATGCCCAGTTCCATGGGGATTGCCAAGAGCCAGAGCCTCCTTGCCGGGGCTGACAGGCAGACCCTGAGCAAAGGATGAATGATTACTCTGACACACGTTTCTGTGAAAGAGAGGACTAAGGAACTGCTTGGCTTGAGAAACCAAACAGCCCTGTTCGCCTGCCTCCTTAGGCTTTTATTGTAACAACAGCTTAAACTAAAATTAACTTCTAGGTACTATCAGCTGGGTAAGCATCCTTGAGAAAACACATATATCTGCAGTGTCCTTTAAGCAAGAACATCTAAAGATGAAACAAAGATTCCAGTAAAACACCCAGGGGCTCAGACTTGTTTGGAAAAGGCAAGGCAAGGGCTACCGCCTTCGGAAAGGTCCCCCTAGAGCAGTGATAGTGAACCTTTAGAGCTCGGCGTGTCAGCATTTTGAAAAACCCTAACTTAACTCTGGTGCCGTGTCACATATAGAAATTTTTTGATATTTGCAACCATAGTAAAACAAAGACTTATATTTTTGATATTTATTTTATATATTTAAATGCCATTTAACAAAGAAAAATCAACCAAAAAAATGAGTTCACGTGTCACCTCTGACACGCGTGTCGTAGGTTCGCCATCACTGCCCTAGGGGCCCTCGACCTTTCGGAGATTCCTCCCTACAAACTTTCCAACCAAGCCCCGTGCTTCCCCACAAAAGTTAAAATCAGAATTAAGTTAGGTTTCCATATTGAAAAATATTTTTTTCTTTAGCTTAAAAAACAAAAACAAATGAGAACTCTACAATCTCAAATGATTTGATTTTAATTATAAGTTTATACTTCTATTAGGTGTAGATTTGAAAAAAAATCATTAAAATAAAATATAGTGATAAACTTAGTTTAGTGAATTATTAAAAGTCACTCTCCAAAACACAACACTTCTCCATTACACCACATATTCCACATATTTTTAAAATAAAAGTTCATGTATGAAACTTTAAGATAATCAACTAAGAACTATCATATATTTAAAAAATATTTTGAAATATTAACTACCATTTTATGTTTCAATAGGTTCAAAACACAAAAATATGACTATTTTAGGTAGCATTTTTACATCCTAATGATTCCCCTTTCAACTGAGACAAGCCCTGAAAGAAAGTAATCGTAGTACTTAAAGTGTATTACCTTGCAAGCCTTCCACCACTTGAGCCTGGAACACAAGCAATAAAATCATCCAGGAAGGACTGTTCATTGCTTTGGATTTGTAGTGGTAAGTTTCCTTCAAGTGCCTCTAATATAGTTGGTGAATGAGAAAGAGCTAACCCCTTTCCAAGAATACCAGAATGGGTTTTGCACACCTGTTGGATAAAAGAGAACATTTATTTTAAAATATAAACTTTAAATACATGAATTTTTGAACTTGCAAACAAATTTTGCTAGGCCTTTTTGGGGAAATCATTTTCTCCCCGTATTCCTTTAGCCTATAAAGTAGACATCTTCCATGAGGAAAAAATATGAAAAAATACTTTCAATCTCCTTCCACAAAAAAGTGACTTATGAGCTCTGCATGTCAGTTGAAATGGTGTTAACTCCTCCTTCCATTCTAGCCCTCTACATGCTACATCCCCATTTGTCCGGGCCATGGCTCCCTCCTGTAGGCAGCTGTGGAAGTCTCTTTCTTTTTGTCTCCCCATTATTGGCAGCTATCATGTGTAGGTTGTGTCTGCTGTCATGGATGGGTGGGTACCACGGTCTAGACTTGGGCAAAAAGTGGATGGAAGCTTTACTGTGGTGGCATATAAATTGCAGTAGTCTGTCTAAGCCTGACTGAAGTAAAGAAAAAGAGGCAGATAAAACTGAAAATTTAGTTCTCACCTATCTGACAAGCAAGCCTATGTTTTGGGAAGACCTGCTTTCAATGCTGAAAACTCTAGAAATTTTTTAATGACTATACTATAAATTTCAAAACAAAACATTTTTCATGGAAAAGGATTATACTTCCAGTACTATCTAATTTATACAATGTTAACTTTTGCATTCTAAAATCTATGCAATTTCAAAAATCATAATCTTTAAAATCAAACAGACTTGAGTTTGAATCCTGGCTCTGGACAAGTTATAGCTGTGAGCTCGTGAGCTAACAAGTTATAGACCTTCCTAAATCTGTAAAATTTATAAACTGGTGACCAAATAATATCTCTTTTTTGTGGTTATTATAAAAGTTAAATTAAATAACACAAATAAAATGCACACTACTTTGCCTAAGAAGTAGAAGTTGTTTAATACGTTAGACCACCATCACAACTACTTTATATGCGTCAAAGGTGGGCAATTTTGGACATCATTTTTTGTTGTTGTTGAACCACAGTACAATAAAGATCTATTTATATCTGGCCTAAATGACATTTTATAAATAATAATCCCTATAATGATGAATAATATATGAACTCTTTGATGGTTCTCCTTAACTAGAATACTGTGTTTATTAAATTTTTATTAAATTAATTTTTATTTTTGTATATTAATATACTAAGATTTAACTCCTTTTTTTAAAAAGCTATTTTTTTTTAACATTATGAGGACACCATGACTCTCTGTGATTAAAGCATAGTGATCAAGGTTATGCACTTTATCACCAAATTGCCAGAGGTCAAACTCTAGCCCAGTTGCTCATTAGCTGTGTGATGCCTAAAAATTATTTAAGTTCTCCCTGCTTCAGTTTTCTTCTCTGTAAATGGAGATAATGTAATTCATATGGTTGTCGAAGGCTAAATGAGTTAAAAATATGCAAAATGTTTGAAATAGTACTTGATAAAATTAAGATCAAATAAATGTTTGTTTTTATTATTACTGCTGTGATAAGTTTATCTCAGGAAATACAATATAACTAACCACTAGTTGTAGGTATTAGAAGACCTAAATGCTAGGCTCTTTTTCCCAATTAGCTGAATTCTTAGACAAGTTGTATAACTTTCTGAACTTCAGTTATTGTAATTGTAAAATACAAGAGATAATACTGACCTCAAAGTAAAACTGCAAAAATAGATACTGTAAATTTGAGAGTGTTCTGCAGATGTTATTTAAATTACCAACACCTCATTTCCCCCTTTTCTAAGTGGTTAATAAAACTTTCAGGACCCATTTCACATGCCCACAGCTCTGCAATGCCTCCCCTGAGCCCCTTGGCACTTGGGAGAGCTTCTTTCTCCCAAAGGATTTATGTCTCACTGTGGAATTAAACCCATCATGCAGTAAAGCGAGGACTCACATAGTCTCTCCCATCACAGGGGAAAATTATAAGTTATTTATCTTTATAACTGCCAATGAATAGCATGAAGTATTTAATGAATGAGTCCTATGTTCAAGAAAAATAGGGTTGATCTAAGTGAATATATTGGTTTTAAATTAATGTACAAAATTTATCCATACAATGTTTGGGGCAATACCTGTAATGCAGCCTCTTCAAGAATTTCAAGATCTTCCTCTAATTCATTACCTGCTGTATAAATAAAAAGTTTTACTAAAATAAAGCAATACTTAATTTTTCAGTCTTTTGCATTCTTTATACTTTGTTCACAATTCTAATATCCCAGAATGAAAAGAACTATTATCATTCTGGATAAATCTCAGTGGTTTACATTTTAAATTTTCAGTGTGAATACAAGCTATAATTCTCAAAATAATACTCAAAATGCATCCATTGAGTGATGTATAAAAGATTTACACTATATTTATGCATATAAATTTGTAATTTTGAGTACTTACTTTTTTACAAAAAAATATAAGGAAACTAATTATTCAGAATCTGAGCCTTTTTATTTTGGTTGTCTTACAAAAGAGATATACTTTTAGTAAACAACAGTAACTTGCAGGAAAACAGAGATAGTGATTGCATCCTCTAGTCATTTTCTCTTTTATTGCTTAATATAGAACATATTTTATTTATTGAATTTTCTTTGATAGTATAATGTATATATTATTACTACTGAAGTAATACATGTTTAAAGGAAAATATTCCAATTATATTAAGGTACAGAATAATTCTGCTACTAGCCCCCTCCCAAACATAAATAGTATCAACAGTTTCTTATGTATTGATATAGAGATTTTGTTGCAAATAATAAATGTATATATGTATGTGTCAACTTACATATATATAATAAATAACATATATAACATAATGTTGGCAAAAATGGGACCCTTCAACTTGCTTTTCTCGGTTAATATAATTTGGACATCTTTCTTGGTTAGGACATACTTTTTTGTTGTTTTTTAACAGCTGCATACATTTCAATGCATGGCTATAACATTACTTACTTAACCAGTTTCCAACGATACGCATTTTGATTACTTAGACATAGTACAATCACCAGTATTGTTACATTAATCTATCTTACAACATATATTTTTGAGCACTTGTACAAGTATGTATAAAAATTGCTACATCAAAAACTATAAGCATGTAAAATCTGAAGTTATTGACACATAGTCTCCAAAGACATTTACTCATTTTCCTCATATGAATAGAATATAAGATTTCTCATTTCCTCACATATATATCAATATTAAGTAGGAACAAGGGAGCTGAAGGAGAAAGGAAACAGAGAAGACGAAAGTAGAGAAAGTGAAGGGAAGAAAGGAAGGATCAAGTAGGAAGGGTAGTCCCTGATGGAAGAGATACATATAAACTTTTGGAGATGAGCACTAGGGAAATCAAATAATAATACCTTTTATTCCCCAAATACTATGAGATAAAATGCTAATCTATGTATAAACATCATAGAATTAGTAAATATTTTTAACTTTATTTTTGTCTTTGCCACCTTGATTTTAAGTCTACTTACATATCATACATATTTGCACCTTAGAAGGAGGTACCATTTCTGCCACGGCCTCAATTCTCTGTTCTGCTCACATGAAAACTCTTCCAAAGAGCTATCCATGTTCAGCCTGACTCCCCTTCCTGACTTTCTATTCTCTCACTGAACTTTAAAAGGGCTTATCTCTCTCTTTCTCATTTGACTGATACATTTCTTTTAAAAAAATATTTATTTTTATTTTTAGAGAGAGTAAAGGAGAGGGGTGGAGGAGAGAGAAAAACACTGATGCAAGAGCGAAATATTGATCAGCTGCTTCCTGCATGCCCCCTACTTGGATTGAGCCTGCAACCCAGGCATATGCCCTAATCTGGAATCAAACCAGCAACTCTTCAGTGACAGGACAATGCCCAACCAACTGAGCCACACGGGCCAGGGCTTAATGATATATTTCTTACTGAGTATATAAGCAGCAAGTTTATCAATCAAGGAAAGATTTTATTTTTTTATTTTTTTTAAATATATTTTATTGATTTTTTACAGAGAGGAAGGGAGAGAGATAGAGTTAGAAACATCGATGAGAGAGAAACATCGATCAGCTGCCTCCTGCACACCCCCCACTGGGGATGTGCCCGCAACCAAGGTACATGCCCCTGACCGGAATCGAACCTGGGACCTTTCAGTCCGCAGACCGACGCTCTATCCACTGAGCCAAACCGGTTTTGGCGAAAGATTTTAATTGACTTCTCAGCAGCATTAGAAAATCCCACTCTCTGCGTTTTACTCCTACCGCATTGGCTACTGTTCCTTCCCAATCTTTTTTGCAGTTTCTTTTTTCTATTCTGTCTACCTCTGAAGTTTTGGAAAGTCCCAGCTTTAATCCTGGGCTCTTATCTTTCTCATTTGCATTCTCTTCCTAATCATCTTTCATATGGCCCCATGTGTTTAAGTATCAACTATGTTTAAATGACATTTGCATTGACTTGTTCCCCGAACTCCAGACGAGTTCCAATTGTCCACTTGGTATGTCCACTAGAATATTTAAAAAATATCTCAAACTTTTGGTTTCATACTATGTATCTAGTGCCTAAACCAGTGCCTGGCACAAAGCATGTATGTGGATGAGGGAGGATGTGTGTGTGTTTGTGTGTGTGTGTGTGTGTGTGTGTGTGTGTATGTGTGTGTGAGTGTATTTAAAAGACTAGAGCAGTGATGGCGAACCTTTTGAGCTCGGTGTGTCAGCATTTTGAAAAACCCTAACTTAACTCTGGTGCCGTGTCACATATAGAAATTTTTTGATATTTGTAACCATAGTAAAACAAAGACTTATATTTTTGATATGTATTTTATATATTTAAATGCCATTTAACAAAGAAAAGTCAACCAAAAAAAATGAGTTCGCGTGTCACCTCTGACACGCGTCATAGGTTCGCCATCATTGGACTAGAGAATACGCCTCAGTCTCTAGACTCCATTTTAAAAATCCCAAACTATCAATATATTAAGCAGTTATTGCTCATGAGTGTGTGTGACTATAAAAGTCATTTGCTAATCTATTTATCAATTTTCAGAATGTTCTATAATATGCATATTCTATTCCTAAAATTAAAAAAATCATCAACAAACACCTAGTATTTGACTAGACTTACCAATAGGAAGTGCTAGATCCTTTTTCATCAAAGCTGCTGCACAAACCCCACCAAGGTTGGCTAATTCTTTTTCCAACTGAATGACTCCCTGTAGAATTGCAAAAACGTATCAGCTGTTTTAAAAAATGTTTGAAATATAATGTGGATAATCAACAAATGTGACTTGCATTCAGCATAACTTTTGAAACTGGAAGGAAGCATGTCATTAGCTAGCTAATGGTTAAATTAAGAGTGAAAGAGGTTAAATTTTATGTCTTATGCTGGTTATAAAGTTTGGGCCCACAGGTTCATCATCCAAAGAATTTTTCGTTTTCTTGAGGAAACATAATCATTTTTCACCTTGATTATATTTTACTGTATGAATTAAAACATTTAGAAGAGTTACTAACAAGTTCAATTATTTACTCAAAAAGGTATAAACACCTGAGCTAGTTTGGAACAGGTGCAACTATACTAAGTTGTCAAAGGCTGAGTCATGTTGCACAGACTCCAATCTCTTCATGTATTAAAAGTAGCAAAAACAGATTACTGCACAGAATACAAAACTATTTTAAAGTATATAATCTAGCTTAAAATACACTTCAGACTTCTTAAATATAGGCAACAAATAAATTTAAGTCAATAGCAGCCGCAGAAACATAATCTTCCTTAACAGAATGAGATAATTCATTCTTACCTCATCAGGTCCAGGGCTAAATTCATACCCAATTGCAAAACATTTGAAACCATAGAAAGAAGCTTTGTCATCTTTCACATAATCTGATGCAGTCTCCAATGAAAAAAGGGCCTCATTTCCTAAGAAAAAAAGGTAACATTGAATTCAAAATCTGAAACAACTTTTACCTTCTTAAAATATATTTTTTTTATTGATTTCAGAGAGGAAGGGAGAGGGAGAGAGAGAAACATCAATGATGAGAATCATTGATCGGTTGCCTCCTGCTCTCCCCCTATTGGGGATCGAGCCCCAACTCAGGCCTGTACCCTGAATGGGAATCAAACTGTGAGCTCCTTGTTCATAGGTCGATGCTCAACCACTGAGCCACACTGGTTGGGCTCAACTTGTAACTTTTATCTATCCCAGGATTGGTAGCAATACCAATCAGATTCTAAAAACCTAGTCATTTTGGAAGGGTTCCTGTATTTACTTGAATAAACCTGTGCTAAAACAACCCTAGAAATAATGGAACCACCCAAGTGAACTGTTATTTTTTTTTATGATCAAATTCTCCTTAATCAAACATCCTACCTTTAAGTTACACGAGAAATCAATTATCTGTCAATTACTAAAGTGAGTTATTCAATACCCTGGCATTTGACTTAGTCGGATGTCTTCACAAACAAAACAGGTCTGACTAGAAGAAAAAAAGCTTCTGAATTCAAACTGGTTATTAGTTTGAGGGATTATACGAGTAGTTATAGTTAGCTGGTTAAAAACACAATAGATTACATATACTTTTAAAAACAAACTTTCTTTTAAAGAAAAACACCAGCAATAACAATAACAAAGGTTCTTCTCTCTCTCTCTCTCTCTCTCTCACTCTCTCTCTCTCTCTCTTTCTCTCTCTCTCTCTCTCTCACACACACACACACACACACTCATACATTTTAAGGACTACAAGTGATGGCTTTGCCCAGGGGTTGAATGCCAACCTATGAACCAGGAGGTGACAGTTTGATTCCTGGCCAGGGCACATGCAGGGTTGCAGATTTGATCCCCACTGTGGAGGATGCAGGAGGCAGCCAGTCAATGATTCTCTCTCATCATTGATGTTTCTATCTCTCTCTTCCTGTTCTTTCCTCTCTGAAATCAATAAAAATATTTAAAAAACAAAACAATAGCTTTGTAGGCTACATGGTTCACCAATTTTTTGAAAGAAAGGAATTCTAGTAAGTTCTTGAGTAATGTCACCTGAGGTCAGCAGGCAACAGGACACCTACTGGGAAAAAAGATCTAATCCACTTTGTCTATAGTTTGATCTCAATTATAAACTGCACCCCCTCAATATTAAGTCTCTGCTCCAATCAAGCTAACATTCTCTCTTCTAAAACTTGGTCATGATATGCCACTCCTTATCCATTTTTCCTTACTTTTCCCCTGTAATCCAGATACATAGTAGGACTTGAAGAAATTCTTTTAAAACTTAAATAAACATTTTTAATGATTTATCCGTACTAATCATAATTACCATAAATGTATATATATTACCATATTAAACAGAAGAGAAAAAATATAACTTACCTGGCAACACTAAAACCATAGTAGGCCACCCAGAAGATCCTGAAAATTTCTTTAATTCGATCCATGAATTAAGATTTTCGTGAATAGATGTCAATTTTGGTCCATATCCTAAATTCTGAATAGTTCTGACCGGAATCAACAAACGCAGGACATCTTCTGATTGTGCAGTACCACACTGAGGGTCAAACTCGATGGTCATCCACCGTACACACTCTGGAAATGTCACCTGAGGTCAGCAGGCAACAGGACACTTGCATTTGTTAAGAAGAATTAGATTTTGCTCTCTCTCTTAAAAACAGGACATCATACTTCAAAGACGATATTTTCAACATTTAAAAAATGATTTTTACATAGAAAACTAATCAAGTAGATTAATATAAGAACTCAAGTTATTAATGTTCAATATAAACTGTTCCCACTTGCAATACTTATTGCTCTCTACCTAATATTTGGTTGACATTACATAGAATCTACAACCAAGATTATTTACCCAGCAAAGCTATCATTCAGAATTGAAGGTCAGATAAAGAGCTTCTCAGATAAGAAAAAGCAAAACTAAAGGAGTTCATCACCACCAAACCAGTGTAATATGAAATGCTGAAAGGTATTCTTTAAGAAGAGGAAGAAGAAGAAAAAGGTAAACATAAAAATTATGAACAACAAATACATATCTATCAACAAGTGAATCTAAAAATCAAGTGAATACAAAATCTGATGAACAGAATAAACTGGTGAATATAATAAAATCAGGGGCATAGAAAGGGAGTGGACTGACAATTCTCGGGGGGAAAGGGGTGTGGGGGGGTTCGGGAAGAGACTGGGAAAAAATTGTACACCTATGGACGAGGACAGTGGGGGGGGGGTAAGGGCAGAGGGTGGGATGGGAACCGGGTGGAGGGGAGCTATGGGGGTAAAAAAGAGGAACAACTGTAATAATCTGAACAATAAAGATTAAAAAAATGAATAATATTTGTAAATACACATTGATATCATAAAAAACATTACAAAGCTACTTAATATCCATAAACATTTAGCTATATGAGTTTTTATGGAATAGTTTACTTATTTAATAAATTTTCCATTTCAGTAAGTATACATTTAAGGAATATAAGTAGATAAATTAAAATAATATTTTACCTATAAAATGTAAAGATTTAATGGAAAATGAATAAATTACTAAAATGTAAGGTTTTAGTCACTTTTAAGTTATCTAGCATTCATAGTATCTATTACAAATGCTTCTTTTCATTAGGAAAAAAACCTTCATATATTAGGAAAATATACTAGTAAACACACACACACAGAACTTACACACATGGTAAAAACCTAGATTTTTAGATTTACCTAACCTGAAGTTTTACTGTATATATGAGTTTATAATGGCACATAATTACATGTATTTTTAAGGCCACTTTTAAGCTTTGGTCACCATCACCACAGAGAGAATTCTGTCACGGTAGTCAAATTACAGTTAAGTAGGTCCATGTTAAATAGTAAACTATGAATTGGTTGTAGAGTATAAAATGAGCCTTAACTATTTCTTAAATATAATATTAATCTAAAAAAATTACCTAGAACTAAGGCAAACATTTTTAGTAAAGGATTTTTAAAATTATCCATTTAAATTAAAAGTTCAACTTTGTTCATAATAACATATATGTAAATTAAAACTCAACTGAGATACCATTTCTCCCATTATATTGGCAAACAGCCCCAAATTTAAGCACATACTCTGTGTTAAGGGAGGCCTTGAGAAAACAAGTACTCTCATTCATTGTTGGGGTTCGGGGGAGGGACACGGAATAGTATAAACCTCTGTGTAAGGGAATTTATCCACAACTAGCAAAACTACATATGCAATCACACTCTGAATCAGCTATCCCAGATCTACGAAACACAAGGTTCCTTATTTTACATTTGTTTAACCCAGCAATCCCACTTCTAAAATTTACTTTGAAGATATGCTTCCAACAACATGAAAAAAAAAACACCCAAACATATACACAAATTATTCATTGCAAAAGGAAAAAAAAAGCAAAATACTAAAAACACCTTGAATGCACACACCCATAAGACTGAATGAATAAACATTTTTTTAAATCTCTTTAAATGGATATAGGGAGATTTCTATACACATTGTTAAAAAAACAAAGTACAAAATAGTATATATATTGTGCTACCATTTTTAAATAAAGAAGGAAAATAAGTGTTATACATATACACATATTGTATATTTTTAAACGATGACTACATAAATTTGTATAGAAATATATAAACATATACATATATAAAATAACAATTGCCTGTGTGTATAAACATGTGTTTATGTGTGAGTGTATGTATTAGTTATGGCACTATAAATATTTAAAAACAATGACCAACCCAGGAGAAATGAGCATCTCTAGTGCTAGATTTCGGCTTTTAAATACCCATCACCCTTAAAAGGAACCAGGGCACTTTGAAAAAAATGGCTGGTTTCAGATATGAGGCAAGAAATGTATAAAATTGAAGCCAGCATCACCCTAATACCAAAACCAGGTAAAGACATCACAATGAAAGAGAATTACAGGCCACAGGAAGCAAGCTAGAGGCTCCTATCCAACAAAGACTTATGATCTAATTTCTTAAATAAAATTCAAGGAAACAAAAAAAGAGAGATGGAGGGAAACCTATGAACTTAAGAGAAAGAACCAATCACAATGTATGGATCTTATCTGGATTGTAATTCAAATAATTAAAATATGCATATTTGGTGTTAGAAAGGAACTATTAGTTTTTTAGTGTGATAATATGGCTATTTTTTATGGGTCCTCATATTTTAAAGATACATAATGAAATATCCATGGTTGTGCTTTAAAACAATTTATGAAAGAACAAAATGAGCAGAAAATAAATGAAATAGGTTAGGCCAAGAGGTGATAACTAACTGTTGAATCTAGGATGATGGATAAAATGAGGTAACTGTACTAGTTTGTCATTTTATGTTTACCATAGTCTACAATAAAAAGCTAAATACTTTATAAACACATAAAACAAACTTATAATTCAATTCTCTTCATTTTACATGAAACACTTAAAAAGCACGAAATAAAGTTTTTTGATTACTCTATATTTCACTCTCCCTGCTTCCTGGGGCTACTAACAATATGTAGAAAGAAGTACTTTGTCTCACCCATTCCCACCCATGCGCGTTATA